AAGAACTTGAATATGGAAGCCACCGATGTTCACAGCATCATCACTGAGGTCTTTGCACACCAAGTCGATCTCAGTAGATTCCAGGATTGGTTAATTCAGTGCTAGATCACCAAGGACCCAGATTCTATCTTTCCATTCTGCTATTTCCAGTGTGTCACCTTTATCCTCAGGCTGTCTGCCTTTCTCATAACTTCCCAACCAGGCCTAAGAGTGTCCGAAGGGAGAAGAGGTGTCTGGCTCACGCTTTTTTTTTTTTTTTTTTTTTTTTTGCGGTACGCGGGCCTCTCACGGCTGTGGCCCCTCCCGCTGCGGAGCACAGGCTCCGGACGCGCAGGCCCAGCGGCCACGGCCCACAGGCCCAGCTGCTCCGCGGCACGCGGGATCCTCCCGGACCGGGGCACAAACCCGCGTCCCCTGCATCGGCAGGCGGACTCCCAACCACTGAGCCACCAGGGAAGCCCTATGCATCCTTTTTTAAACTTTTTTCTATGAAAGAAAAGGATTTAGCTTTCTTCTCCGCACCATATAATGCCCCTTCCTAGTCCCCCATCCTCCCATCAGAGTCACATCACAACTTTGATTAGAGAGATAGTCAGTGTTTACATTCTGATGACTATTTGGACTTTATTCAAACTGAGTCAGAAGTTGTACTATGATTTATATTCCCTTTCCTCTACAACTTTGTGTATCCCCTAGAATTAACAATTACCTATTTTTATTTGCTTATTTTTCAATGTACTTCCTAGCAATTTGACTGCAAATTCTCCATTAATCCTCTAAATTCCTCTCAAGATGTTTGGAGACATTGGCTATCTATCAAATCATATTCCTGAGGAATTTTCTTTTGGAAACTTCTGACTTGTTCTGATCTGGGCTGGCTGCCATTTGGGGATCTTTCTTTAACATCAACCTAGATGTTCTCTTTCCCTGTCTCTTCTTTCAGCAGTTTTCTTTCTTGGTTTGCTCCTTAGTTTTTGTGGTGCACACCCTCCAGTCACCTCCCTAAAAAGGAGTGGATCAGAGGTAAATTTATGAGATCTTGACAATGTCTCTGTCTTATCTTCATTTGATTGATAGTTTGGTGGGTATAAAATTACAGGCTGGAAATCATTTTGCTTCTGATATTTTTGAGGACATTTCTCTACTTTCTTTTAGTTCCCAGTTTTGCTGTTGAAAAATCCAGAACTATTCTGATTCATGACTCTCTTTTGCACAGGCTGTTTTCTTTCCCCTGTAGAAACTTGTAAGATCTTACCCGTGTCCTCTGTGCTGTGAAATGTCTTGAGACTATGTGTTGACTTGAGTCTATTTTCATCTATGTTGATGGTCACTCAGTCAGCTTTATTTCCTTTAGTTCTAGGAAATTTTGTTGAACCATTTCCTCGATGATTTCTTTGCCTCTGTTTTTTTCCAGTTCCACCTGATGAATCTTTTTTTTAATTGCCAATGTAATGAGCAAAAAAAAATAAATTTTAAAAGGCTCAATTTTCATTTCTGTGGTTCCTAGTGATGTAGCCTATCTTTTCATACTACCTTTACTATCTTTATTTCCTAGGTTAGTTATCTCCTGTATCCTTTGTCCATTGCATTCTCTTCCTTTCTAGCAGGTCTATATTTAAAACTGAGGGGAAAAAACCTAGCCTATGTTTAAGTAAAAGATGCTTCAACCATTATAAAAGTAAAACAAGAAGAAACAAAGGAAGAAAAGAGCTTAGGTAGTCCCACCCCAAAGACAGCCAGCCACAGTGGATATTTTGGTGTTTTCTTCCATCCTCCTTTTCTTTTCTTTCTATGCATATGATTTTGGACAGTGCTGTTATCTGACAAAGTTGTGATCAGCTTGTTTGTACAATTGTGTGCCCTACAATCCTACCTTTATTTTGAAACCTCTAAAGAAGGCACTTTGGAAGGTGTGAGTCACTCAGTCCTTTAAAAAATTTTTTTATCAAGGCGTTTTCTCCTATAAAATCCTAATTTTCACTCTGCCCACACAGCACTTGCTCTGAAATCAAGGCAGGGAAAAGGCTGCACCTCTGGGGACATGTGTAACTGGAAAATCTTAAAATAGTTCTGTGAGGAAAGGGAATGAGTTTAAGATAAAAGTTGTGAATCTCTAAGTTTCCAAGCTCAGGAATTCCCCACTCTTGGGACAGCTTCCTGATTGCTCTTTGTTTCCCACACGAACTGTGCCCAGACCCTCTCACTCTCCCCATCTAAGACCCAGGTCCTTGCGTCACCTCTCCTCCTTCACTGCCCGTTCTAGATCCTGGTGGTCCAGGTATCTTCCTGACTCACTTCCTTGAAGTCTCACTGCCCAGCCACACATCCTCACCCACTCCTGGTCCACACTCCCAATTCCCTCCACCCTGCACAATCATTTCTTTTGTTCCTCATTACACACATTATTGTGATTATTCCTTATGCTGTGTCCCCTCCCCACCCCACTCTCACATTTAGGGATCTTAGTTATTGTTCACTGATGTATCCAAGAATAACTAGGACAGTGCCTGGTACACAGTATGTGTCAAAAAGTATAAGTCTTGCTGAGAGAATAAGTGATTGCTCAAAGCAGCACCCTAGATACTTTTACCACCCTGGTTTTCTCCCACCTTCATTGTGTCGATTTCCAAACTTGAATTTACCCAACACCCATTTTCTCAGCCTCTGATGCTGTGGTTTCTGCTATTTTCAGGCTGCTGAGAGCTGCTGGAGAAAATCACAGATGTCTGCCAAGTGGATCTACCACAAAAATCATATTGCTGAACCTCATATGTGCCTTTAATCGTGCCTAACAATCTTTGTATGTATCTCACGTTGCTTCCCTAGCAAATTCCACACTGTGATGTTCTAAGACATCTTTCCTTTTCGAATTTGCAAAGAGTCAGACTTGTGGCCCAACCATAGCCAATGTTCAGACTTGAGCAATTGTTTTCATTTTTGTAACAGGTTCTTTCCAGCTCTTATTTTTTCTCTATTCTTGTTGGCCTCTTTCCCTCACCTACTTCTAACCTAGGCAATCTTGCTGAACTTTAAATCTACTCACAAGCTGCCTTAGATCATTTTGTTTTAACAGAGAGGGTTATAAGTTTGTTGTTGTTGATTTTTTTAATGTTCTTAGATGATTTTAAAGCTTTTTGTAGCTTAATTTTGATGGCCATGTCATATTCTAATATATGATAATGTACTTGCCTTTACTAGTGTTGGACATACACATATTATTCCATTTATTTTATCATAAAAACCTAGGCACATAAATCTTTATTTTGCATTTCTGCAAATTCCTTATGGTAGATTCCTAGATTTATTGGAGTCAAAAGGTATAAGCATTTTAAGACTCATGATAAATGTTGCCAAATTTCTTTTCAGAAAAATCGTACTGATTTATGTTCCTACCAGTCACGGTGATCATTTCATTATACCCTCACCAGTACTAGCATTCTTGTTTTATCATTTTTTTCCAACTGGATAGACACAGAATGTTTCATTTTAACTGCATCTCTTTGGACATTTGTGAATATGACATTTTTCACATATTCATTAACTATATGTACTTTTCTTTTTGTGAATTGTCTATTAAATATTTTTCCCCATTCATCTGTTGAGGTATTCATGTTCTTGGTCATTTTATCTGTTTACTTGAGAAATTTATGGCAGTAATTTTGTGTAATGTTTACTAGAAATAATTTTCCAGCTTGATAATTGTCATTTTATTCTTTTTGTTCTCTTTTGCTTCTTTATATGTACACACTGTTTTTAAATCTTGTTAGAGCTATGTATCTTTGCCTTTGGGGTCTTTGCATTTGTTTTTAACCTTGGAGAGTCTTCTCTGATCCAGAAATTTGAAATTGTCTTCCAGTTTTAATTTTTAATAGTTTGACATTTATAAAAGTTATTCTTCATATACTGGCATGCATTATGATATAAATTTTTTCCCCAACTAGCCAACCACTTGGTCCAGTTTTGGAGTTTTAACTGGACCAACAAATAATATCCTTTCCCCTTCATGAGTTAGAAACCAATTAAGAGAAAAAGACAATGCAGGCCGATGTGGTCTCCTTTATTTCTGGATAAAGCTGATTAGAATATGTAATTTAAGATTAAACCGCCAAAATAGTCTGTTAATACACCTCACCCCTGGATTAAGCTGTCTGGGCCACCCGCACCCAGGCCCTGCTAGACCACAGTGAATCCCCAAAGGGCAGAAACAGGAACTTCCTCAATAAGGGGCCACAGAGCAGAGGGCAGAACAGCACTCAGCTTCTCTGCAGCCCAGCAGATCCAAGAGAGGACGGGTCTGAGCCACTCACACTCTATTTCTTCTAAACTCATCAGTGAGGTGTTTTCCTCCTCCTACCCTAGGGAATAGAAAGTGAGGGCTTGGGAGAGAAGTGGGATGTGGGACTCTAGTTGAAGACCCGTGCACAGAAACACACACTTAGCTACACTTTCCCTCCAATCCTTCCTCCTACCCCCACCAATAAATATCTAGGACCATTCATTGGAGAATCCCCTACTTCCGTCCTGTGCTGTGTACCATCTTTATCATCATCATATATAGTCTATGGGCTATTTCTGGCCTATCTATTCTGTTTCCCTAAACTATACTAGCAGTAGAAATAAACTGAAAACATTATTGTTCCTTTCTGTTGTCTTTTACTTTCTGGGAAAACTAATCCCTCTCCACCATCCACATTTTTTTTTTTCTCAAAATGTATTAGTTGCCCACGCGCCACAACTACTGAGCCCGCGCACCTAGAGCCTGCGCTCCCCAACAAGAGAAGCCACTGCAACGAGAAGCACGCTCATTGCAACGAAGAGTAGTCCCTGCTCGCTGCAACTAGAGAAAAGCCCACACACAGCAACACAGCCAAACACAGCCAAACATAGATAAATAAAATAAATAAATTTATTTTAAAAAATGTATTAGTTACTTTTGCTGGTTGTCCTCTAGCTGCACTTTAGAATGATTTTGTCATATTCCAGAAATAACTCTATTGGGATTTTGATTGGAGTTATAACTATAAATTAATTTGGTAGGAAATTGACATCTTTATAATATTCAGTTCTCCCATCCAAGAACACGGTATGGTTCTATTTACAGAAGTCTTCTTTTATACTTTGTAGTAAAATCTTGTCATTTATTCATATAAATCTCTCATATTTCTTGTTAAGGTATTCCTAGGTATTTCATCTCTTTTGTTGCTATTGGGAGTGCAATCTTTTTTTCTGTTATGTTTCCTCACTCATTATAGTTAGTAAATAGAAAATCCGGTAATTTTCAGATACTTATCTTAACATATATGCATGTATCTTTCATATATTAAGTCATTCTTCTCACTCTTTTATTCATGTCAATACTTTCTTCCTTTGGCTTTCCAGACGGGAGCTTTCCAGTTGGTACGCTGCATGCGGTCCACTGCTGTGCCGAGAGGGGGACTCGGGTGCTCTATAAGACACTGACTGCCCAGCAGTCAGGGAGGGTCTGGTGCGGCCACTTGTAACTAATCACCTACATTCAAGAAGCTCCTTGGAGGCTCGAGAGAGAACCCTAAGCAGAGGAGCTCTGATTGTGTGAGATCACTATTAGCAATGAGCAGAACCGGCCACATCCCGCACACCTCGCTTTGCGGCAACCTGTTAAACAAACTCAAGGGTGCCCTCCAGCCAGGATGCCCCCTCTGTACCAGCTGCAGAGCACATCTCTGCCTTGTGGCCCTAGGACCATGGAACTGCTGGAGGGGTTTGGGTACCAGATGCCCATGGTGCCCAGATCACAGCCCAAGGGGGCTCAGGGCAGGCACTTCACAGGTGGCAGCTTGGAATCTTGGTCGTGACACAGGAGATGCTGCCACGTATTTGTGCCAATGGATTCTCTTAGTGACATTCAAGCTACTTGCAAGGTGACTGCTCTAATAACACCTGTCTTTTCCTCACATTAGAGCTTCATCACTACTTTGAAGTACATGATATGAAAAAGCTATATTGTTTTGAAAAATCTATTTGCATCATCACAACAAATTGCAATATCACATCTGTCTATAAAGCAGAAACTAACACACCATTGTAAAGCAATTATACTCCAATAAAGATGTTAAAAAAAAAGAAAAAAGAATGAAAAAACTGTTAGATTTTCCTGGCAACTATTATAAATTTTTTAAATTAAATTAAATATTTTAAATTAGCAATTTATATGAACAAAGTTTCTCATTCGTGTTGACTAGCAAGAGATGATCACTAAAAAGTCAACACCAAGAAATGCTGATGACCCCTTATATAATCTTATATTAATCTCATATTAAAGATTTAGGCATATAATCTTATATTAAAGTTACATCCAGAGAAGTAAACCTAAGTATCTAGGTAAATAATCTGAGAATATTTTACATGGAAGTTTTATATAAATTCAATATTGAATATCTTTTGGAATACATTATGTTTTATTTTTATTACCATAATTATATAATATAAAAACACACTAAAATTTTTTCACCAAGCCACAGATAATTGCCTGCAAATCCCCTATGGCTTACTCCAATATATCTTATAGATACTGTCATTTTCTTCAAGGGCCATGTGTGGAAAAGGGCTGAGAATCTCTGTTTTAGAACGGTAAACATATCATCTGCAAACCATGATAGTCATGCACTTTCTTTTGTAATAGACTTGTTATCTCTGCTTTAAGCCATTGCAACAACAAACACGTCCACACAAAAAAAGAAAAAACACACAAAAAAACCAACTGTGGGTTTGATCCAATCACTTCCTGTGCCATCAGGCATCCCATTTTTCTCCTGAACCATTAATCTCTTCCTCTCCTGGGCACCTTCCCTTCAGCTTAAAAAAATAGGACAAATGCTCCATCTGAAAAAGGAAGGAATATTCCATCAGCTTTGCATTCTCAAGCAAGTATTTTAGCTCTCACCTTCTGTTCATCACCAAACTTTGTCAAAAAATGTTTATGCTGACTTCTCCTCCTCCCTCTGCCCTCATTTACTCCTCAGTTTACAATAGTCTGGCTCCTGCTCTGGCCATGCTACCAAAATCATCTCAGATGATCATCTCCTTTGTGCAAAACGCTATGGTCTCTTTTCAGTCCTCATCATCCTTGGCTTCTTTGCTGACCACCCTCTTTCCCCATTTTTAAAAGCTATCATTTATTCAGCATTTCTTGTGATTCAGGAATTGTGCTAAGTGCTTTATTTAGATTACTGAATTCAATCTTCACGATAGCCTTATTTTAGATAAGCCTTACTCTAGATAAGCCTTACTCTACCCATTTTACAGATGAGGAAACTGAGACTCAGAAACATAAGCAAAATTCCCCTAGGTCTCACAGTAAGTAAGGGGTAGTATTGGGCATTCATATGTCCAAAATCTTTTCAATCCCTTGTTGTCTTCTATGAAATTTTGTTTGCCTTGTTCTTTAATCTTATCCTGCATCTCTGTGGCTTGTTTCCAAAGTTAGGGAAATTTTCGGGAATTCCCTGGTGGCCCAATGGTTCGGACTCCAAGCTCCCACTGCCGAGGGCCTGGCTTCAATCCCTGGTCGGGGAACTAAAATCCCACAAGCCACGTGGTGCGGCCAAAAAAAAAAAAAAAATTAGGGAAATTTTCACTCATTATTCTTGCAAATATTTTTTCTGAAGTTTCCTCCTTCTACTCTCTTTCTGGGACTCTAATGGCATGAATGTTAGATCTTTTGGTATGCTCCCACAGGAGAGAGAGGGGCTATGCTCTTCCTACCATCACCAAATCTTTTGTTTTTTTCTCTGTTGTTCAGATTGGATAATTTTCATTGATTTGTCTTCGCATGTACTGACTTTTTCTTCTGTTATATCCATTCTGCTATTCAGTCCATCTGGGGACTTTTTATTTTGGTTATTGTATCTTTTTAGTTCAATATTGTATCTGGTTCTTTTTATATCTTCTATTTCTTTGCTGAGACTTTCTATCTTTCCATTCATTTCAAGACTGCTTACCTTTACTTCTTGGAGCATTTCTCTAATAGCTACTTAAAAGTGATAATTCCAAAATCTGTTGGCTGCTGTCACTTATCTTGTCCCCTGTGAGTTGACATTTCCCTGGTTCTTTGTATGATGAGTAATTTTGGATTGCACCTTTGATACTCTGATTGTTGTGTAATGAGACTCAGGTTCTTGTTTATATCCTATGGAGAATTTTGATATTTCTGTCTTAGCAGGCAATCGATCTGGTTGGGTTCAGGTCACAAGTTCTGACCCGCCTTCTATGGGTTGCAGTTCTAACGACAGTTCGGTTTTCCGAGTCTTTGCAGGCTATTGGGATCTGTGCCCTGTATGTGCCATCCAGTGACCAGTGTGGGACCAGCATGGTGGCCTGTCCCATACTTCAGTTCTCATAGTCTTTGGCAATCTATTTAGGGCCATGTCTATACATGTACAGGCCAAGGGTGAGCACAGGGATTCATAAACAACTTGATGAGGTTGATTTCCTGAACTCTTCTCTCCCCATGATCATCTTATCTTTTCAGTTCCGTGGGGCTTCCCTTTTCAGTCTGGGTGTTTAGCTACCTGGTTCTGCTGTCCACTTCCTACAACATGGAGTGTACATTCCCAGACATGGACTATGCACTCCATATGGTAGGGTCAATTAAGTGCCATGTCCACCCCTGGACCAGTAACAGTCAGCAGGGGCGTCTCCTTGAGCTGATGGCTTACACCAATTAGGACACTCCTAAGGGACTGAGGATGATTGACATTTGACAAAACTGGGCTCTGTGAAGAACAGAGACATGGCCGTCATGTAGACAACCAGTAGTGTTTAGCCAGTGCTTCTTTCCTCCTTTTCTTCCCTAAACCACTAAATGTCAGCACCACCCTCCCAATCACCCAAGCTTAAAACCTCAGAGTTTTCTTCCCCTCTGTGCTTCTCCTCCCCATCCTGTAAACATCCAGGCAGATGCTCAGCCTAAACATGCCTCCTCATCAAGGCCTCTCTCTTTGATCCTGTCTAGCCACATTTTAATTTTAATTTAAAAAAAAAATTTTGGCCGTACCCTGTGGCATGTGGGATTTTAGTTCCCCGACCAGGGATCAAACCCACACCTCCTGCACTGGAAGCACAGAGTCTTAACCGCTGGACCACCAGAGAAGTCCCCTAGCCACATTTTAAAGCTCTCCTTTCCTGCTTCAGATTTCCCTTCTCTGTGGTTAGCTTCTAAAAGCAGAGAGGAACTGATCATCAAACCCCCCTGGCCTACAGAAGAAAGTCCTCAGCACTGTGATCAAGGCCTCCCCGCATCTGCCCTAACTTCTATGCCTAGGGTCACACGACACCCCTCTACCCCCCAACACTCCACCAGCTACATTGGACTAAAAGTCAGTCCTTAAACATACCCTGTATTTTGTGCCTTTTGTTCCAGCTGTGTCCTCCTAAAAGACCCTTCTACGCAATCACAGGATTCAAGGCTCAGCTGAGACACCATGAAGACTGAGACCACACAGAGTTAGCATTCATCTCCCTTTCCCCCGAGGCCTTGTGGACATTTCTACTGTAGCTCTTGATCGCGATGCCTTGAGTTGCACTGTTGTCTCCTTCACTACAGCATGAGCTACTTAAGACGTGAGACCCATTCTCGTTCTCTTTTGTAGCCTCTGCAGTTCCTGGCCCAGTACCTCAGACACAGTAGATACTGAAGACATGGTTGTTTCATTAGATTCAGTTAAATGGACTTGACTCTATAGGCTCTGGTATAACTTCTTGGGATCAAACCAATCTAGAAAAATAACTTTCTCCTTTTAATAAGCTTCTGTGGGTGTTTTATTCAGAAAGGCATTTAATAGAAATTATTCTCTCCCCAACGTAGGTGAGCTGGGTGCTCACCTCTATGCCACTATAGCTCCCTGTACCCCTCATTTTATATCATTCATCATTTTTCAATTACTTGATTAGTATCTGTTTCCCCACCTCACGCTTTCATATCATTCTTTGAAGGCAGGGACTAATCTTTCTTTTTCTCCACTGTATGTCTGACACCTACCACAGTTTCAGGTTTGCAGAAAGCACCCACAAGTATTTATTCTTTGAATGGAGTTGAGTAAATAAGGGCTACTGAGAAGAGATAAACAGAGGTTTATTGCATTGCAAACTGCAGTGATAAGAAATAAATTCAGACATCTAGAGTCAACTGACCAAGAGAAAAAAGAAAACACCATATATAGTCTACGTTTATCAAGACAACCTTTGCCTTTTCCTTCTCCCATTCTCTTTCTCCCTCTTTCTTAATTTCTCCAATTCTTTATTCTCCCTCCTTGTTTGTACATGGGGATGGGGCTGCCAGTTGTCCCCTCATTTCCATTCTCATCTTCTTACACGTGAGTAGAGTCTCTAGCTTGTCATAAGGCCACCTAAGTAAAGCTGACATTTCTTAGCCCCCTTTGTGGCTTGGTGTAGCCATTTGACTAAGTTCTGGCCAGTGGGATGTAAGTAGAATGAGGTATGCAACTTTGGGACTATACCCTTGAGAGAAAGCTGTGTGCTCTCCCTTTCCATCTCTCCCCTTCCCAACAGCTGAAATGCAGATGTGCTGGCTGGAGCCAGAACAGTCACGTTGGCCCACAAAGTAGAAGCTGCATGTTAAGTGTAGTAAGAAGATCAAAGAAGCCGGATCCCTAACTCCACGTAGCCACCAGACCCACCCTGGCTGCTTCTACCCACATTGTTAGGAAAGTGACCTAGAGAAATGTCTATTTTATTAAACTTTGTCTCTAAAATAACACCAATACTTACCTCCTTAATAATACAATGCATGGCCATTTTTATGGCCATTTTTCCCAATAGAAAGAAAAAAAAAAGATAAAGGTACCTTTGAAAAATCCTACTCATAGACCAAAACTCTTGGCTATACACCATGTGACAATACTTCTATCATCTGGAACCTACCTCCAGAAGAGAATGATATGGGCTGTGGGTGCACAATATCTCATTTCCAAAGGATAATATGTTACCACAAAGGAAATAATGCAAGCAAAAGACATTTTGCAAAAATTTTATGTCTTGCTCTGTGTCTTGAAAAATTATGGATACTTGCTACTTTGGGATATTTCTATTAAAAAATAAAGTTGACCTTTCAGTGTCTAAATGAGAAAGGAAATGTTATAATTGGATGTCTACTGAGAATCATCTTGGTTATAAGAAAGGGGTTAGACTATAAGCATTTGGACTTTTGGGACAAAAGAAAAACATTACTGATTATTATTTAATGTTACCTTGAGTAGATAGCAAAAAGGATTCTATTGAAAAAGCCCTTTGAATTATGTTTGTCTCTCAGAGTTCTGAATCTTTCATTCACTTCTCAATAAAAATAAGTAACTACTTAATTTATCGTCTGGCAAAGCGAGGGGAATTATTGGCCCAGAATCCCCCTAAAACACCTAGAGTAAGTACTGAAATGTGTGCATTTCGTTAATTTAGCCACTGAGAGCTTTGATTACTTATTCATATTTATGCAACTTTTCAAACTTATTGATAACAATAACTTCATATTTTGTATTTTTTTTAAAAAGTAGTCTCTTAGCATTCTTAGATTTAACCTCATGGTTTCTAATATCCATGAAAAACTTGGGAAGTATATGGTATGATATTACATAATTGCTGCAGTTCACAATGGAAATTGGATCCTAGAATGATCTATTTGACAGTTCACAATGTCTGGGAACGTTCAGGATCTCACCTCTCAGCATTATGACTGTCCTGTCTCTTCAGCAGGAAGCTTGCCTGGTTCAATAGACTTTGTTCATCAAGATATCTGATGAAGGTTTCCTTCTATAGAGTCTAGGGTTTGTGGTTCCTGAAGGACAAAGAGAAGAGACTATTTCCTTTCAAAGCCCTTTTGTTAGTCCTTATTGACAATAGAGCGAATCGAGTGTTAGTTACTGGTCCCTCTTCCTTACAAATCATTCCCTTGTTGAAGGAACAGAGCAAATATTACTGGTAGGTGTGCAGTTTGGAAGGAGACTATCACTCAAGAGATCTCAAATGAGTAAAGGCCCTTCACAGTGGCTTCCGAGCGTTCATTGCTCTGTTCAAGAACCTAGCACATGAAAAAAAAAAAAAAAAAAAAAAAAAAAAAAAAAAAGGGCTTCCCTGGTGGCGCAGTGGTTAAGAGTCCGCCTGCCAGTGCAGGGGACACGGGTTCATGCCCCGGTCCGGGAAGATCCCACATGCCGCGGAGCGGCTGGGCGCGTGAGCCATGGCCGCTGAGCCTGCGCGTCCGGAGCCTGTGCTCCGCAACGGGAGAGGCCACGGCAGTGAGAAGCCCGCGTACCGCAAAAAAAAAAAGAACCGAGCACAGGGTCATGTACACAGCAGGTGCTCAACAAATATCTGCTGAATGAATAAACAAATAGATTCAGTGCATAATGCAAGAAAACATAAGAAATACTTCCTGCCTTCAAAGAGTTTACCAGTCATACATACACATTACTTAAATTAAAAGAAACCAATTTCCTAAGAAGCAAAGGATTAGTACAGATTTTAAGTACTGTAGCTTTCCTGGAAGGTCATTCTCTAGGGCACAGAATGAAAAAGTTGATAGGGCAAGAACTGGGGCTGTGTGTGGAAGGCTCGAGCTGGCTGGCTGAGAGCTTGGAGTCTGCTGTGGGTCACAGGGAGCTACTGTGGTTTGCTCCATTGGAGGAGACAGGAGGGGGCAGGGAGACCACTTGGGGGCAACCGCTATCTGGTCCACGTGACCAGGAAAGAGTCTCAATTAGGGCAGTGGCGGGGCAATGGAGAAGAGGAATGACAACATCGAGAAGGACAGCGAACGTCCCCTGTGGGCACCAAGAGGTAAACCCGCAATACCTCTTCCTGGAATTTCAGCTGGTGAGTCAGTCAACCGTGGGCTGCTTTGACACAGGGTGGACTAAAATCAGCTCTAGAGTAGAAAAAAACTTTTTATAAAACAGCTCTATTAGCTTTGTTTACATTTTTTTCGGAAACACACGAGGTCATTTATTTTAAAAAATACACAAAGTATACAGAAACAATAAAATGTACCCCAAATCCCACTCCCACCCACCAAGATTACTGCTATTATTTTAGTGAATACCTTTCCTCACATTCTTCTATGCACAGATACATACAAAGTACGAAAGAATCTTATTAAGATGCAATCATTCCATATATGCTGTTCCTGAATCAATTTTCCTTCCCCCCTAACATGTTGTAAACATTGTTCCATGTTGATCAATATTGACTTACATATAACTATGTCAATTTGTTTGCCTATATCACAATGTTCCACTAATGGATATTTAGATTCTCACTCTGTGTGTTACTGTAAACAATCCTGCGATTAACCTTATTATGTATATTATTTTTCAACTGTATGATTATCTCCTAATGCAAATCTAAGAAGTTGGATTGGCTAGGTCAAAGGTATGTATCATTTTATGTTTTGATACATATTCCCAAACCATATGGGATACAAAACCCTCCAGAAAAGTACATTCATTTATTTATTTACTCAATAACTATTTTTTGAGCACCTACTATGTACCAAACATTGTTCTATATGCGGGGAATACAATAGTGAATAAAATGGACAAAGTCTCTGCCCTCATGGAGTATACATTCTAATGCAGGACAATAAGCAATAAACAAACAATTAAACATATAATATATTGTCAAATAGTGGTAAGTGCTAGGAAAGCAAAATAAAACTGAGTAGGGGGCTGGAGAGTCCCAGGGGGCAGGGGGAGGGAAGAGAGTGTTTTACATAAGATGGCAGGGAAGAGACTATGAGAAAGAGACATGGGATCCAATGTGTGAATGACCATGGGGACAGTGGTGCAGAGAAGGAACAGGAAGGGCAAAACATCTGACGTGGGAACATGCCTGGCGTGTTTCATGGCCAAAAAGCCAGTGTCTCTGGAGCAACTCGAACAAGAGGGAGAGTTGCGGGAGATGCCGGTGGAGAGGTGGCCAGGTCAGAGCAGAGAATTAGGGATGAGAACTTGTAGAGGTGTTCTAACTGATTATGATATTGGCCGAAGGAATCTGAGATTCTAGTCTGAGACTTTTAAAAGGAGAAGGAGAAAGAAGGAACTGGGTCTGCTTTAGTTTGTCTTACCACTTCTCAGTCTTCTATTCATTAGACCCTGCTTAGTGGACGTCTGCACTCTTTCTCCCTCACCACTGCCCACCCAACCCCGCTTTCCCACTTATAAACGGCATCTTTCCCACTTATAAACAGTTCCGGCAAGGAGGGAACACAGGTAGGACTTCATACCTGAGAGGTGATTTAAGCTTCCCTTATGTTCATTATGCAGGTCTTACCTCACAATACCTCCCAACTTCAATCAGATTTGAAAACTCCTTTTGCCAGCCTCTTAACTATGCTGAGAGATTCTCTGCTCCCCTGATTGGAGACCCTCTGTCACCCTAACAAAAACTCAGGCAGCCTCGTGGGCTTATCATGGCTGACTTATACTAACTTACCCAAGCCCTCCTAACACAGAATTTTTAACATGGAAGGTGGTCTATAAATATTTGCTGGATAAACAAAAGAATGTATGCACAATTTTTCTCTGAAGGCGTCTTTACTTTGTAGGAGCTCTATTCTACTACTTTGATTAGCATCAGTTTCAGAGGATACATTCTGACCATGTTCTCCATGTTTTGATGCACTTTGATTACAGCTCCCTAAGCCCTGCCTTTGAGTGTCTCCTTACCATCTGCTGGGAAGGTCCAGGGGATTTAAATGTGCCTAAGGAGAGCACTTATAGACAATGCTTAGGGCAAGCCTTGAGTAAACTGAGGGCTTCACTCTTTTCCAAGATATCTGCCTGTGATGATGATTTCTTCTACAGTGATATTCGAGAAATTGCACAGCGAAAAAGGACTAAGTTAGAGCAAAACAAATTTTTTTAATTAAAAGCAAAAGGTGATTTGCTGACAATGGAAATTGCAATGTTGGTTAATTTACTGTTCTTCAGTTTAAACAAAATTAATAATAGCGTTTTCTTCTGGTTATAAAAGTACTTCCGGGGCTTCCCTGGTGGCGCAGTGGTTGAGAGTCCGCCTGCCGATGCAGGGGACGCGGGTTCGTGCCCCGATCTGGGAAGATCCCACATGCCACGGAGCGGCTCGGCCCGTTGAGCCGTGGCCGCTGAGCCTGCGCGTCCGGAGCCTGTGCTCCGCAACGGGAGAGGTCTCAACAGTGAGAGGCCTGCAAACCCCAAAAAAAAAAAAAAAAAAAAAAAAAAGTACTTCGTACTCATTCTAGACAAAATTTAAAATATCAAAAAGCATAAAGGAGAAAATAAAAATTACTCATAATCCATTATCTGCAGATAGGCATTGTTGACATTCTGTTGGATTTCCTTCCACTTTAAACATCATTATGATCGTACTATACATCTATGGTTTTATATCTCTTTTTCACCTGACAACAAATTCTGAACATTTTCCCCAAAATACGTTTTTTAATATTATTACTAAAAGATGCACAATGTTCCAGCTATGCCTTTGTCATAATTTATATTATGTGCCTATTATAATTAGTAGAGACCATTAGTTTTCAACCTATATTATAAACTCTTATAAATAATGTTGCAGTGAACATTCTTCTACATAATCATTGTCTAAATCTCTGAACAATGCCCTAAACTAGACCCTCAGAAGTGTAATTATTTGGTCAAAATATATGATTTTCTGGTTTTGTTTTGTTTTTCTTTTTTTTTTTGCGGTCCGCGGGCCTCTCACTGTTGGGGCTTCTCCCGCTGCGGAGCACAGGCTCCGGACGCGCAGGCTCAACGGCCATGGCTCACGGGCCCAGCCGCTCTGCGGCATGTGGGATCTTCCCAGACCGGGGCACGAACCCGTATCCCCTGCATCGGCAGGTGGACTCTCAACTACTGCGCCACAAGGGAAGCCCTATATGGTATTTTTTAAAGGTTTTTGATAAGTATTTCAAAACTGCTTTCCAAAAAGTTTATATTAACTTACACTCCCCTCCCACTACTCTAAACCATCCCTCTCATGCCACTGTATTTTAAGAGAGTAGCAAAGTTATGCTGGGTTCAAATCCCAGCTCTACTGTCTTAGGAAAGTTATTTAACCTCACTAAAGCTCAGTTTCCCTGTAAATCGAGGATAGTAACAGTATCTAGCTCATAGGGTTGTTGTGAGGATTAAATTAAATAATATAAAATTGCTTAGTACGGTCCCTAGAACATATCATGTAGTCAATGTTAGCAACTATTACCAGTAACCAGTAAAATCACCCTTCCCCTGATCATTCCAGAGTAATATTTGGGTACAAAATCCCCTAAACACAGTCAGAAAAAGTACCAAGCTTCCCTGTTTAACAAGACTGTTTAAGTAGCTGAAGTCACTCAATTATTGTATCTATACACAAAGCCTCAGCATTCTAAAAATACTAGCCTATTTGGTTTCCACCAGGAAGCAAAGACGGTCTTCTGAAAGGTGTTTTCTGCCCTTTATACATTATTTTAACAATGGTATGCTTTTCTTTATTATTTCAAGGGAAACATTTATTTAAGGGCCAATGGCTCAAATTTGGATTTTTTTTTTCCAGCAAGAGAAGGAATCAACATAAACAGCCTTGTAATTCATCATCATAAACAGATCTCATAAGCATCAATCTACTACATTTTGGCCAGAGCCTCTCAAAAGAGATCAACGTTTTTTTAAAAAAAGTCCCTGAGCAACTTAACAAAGAAAAAGTTATTCCAATTAATGTGAAAGGTCTAGTGGAATTTTGCTTAGAATTCAGTGAGTTTTTTGTTTGCCTATTCCCAGAATTTTTGGTTGAGATGATCCCAAGATAAATAAAATCACCTGTAGAAAGTTGTTTATTAGATAGATGCCCTAAAATTGTTGCATGAAATTGGTTTAGCTCTATTTAAATACAAAATAGATCAATTTCACGTGCTTTATGAGAATATATTTGCTTAACCTTTTTATAGAGTTAAATATTTACTGGGTGTGGGAACATTAGTTCTCAGCTTCTGGAGAAACCACTCAACACTGTTCTGTGTCCATTGTCTAAAAGGATATTACTACCAGCGGGATAAATATACAGAATGTGCTCTAAGGTCTCTGGAGTTCCTTGACATTGGGTAAACTTATGCCACTGGTTAGGAGAGAAACACTAGGGCATTTCATGCTGTGAAAACAACACAGGAAATGAAATTGTAGGATATCAGAAAAGGCCCTGGCTGCTACTTTCCCTTGGAGTTTCTTCTCTGGAAATTTACTGGAATTTCTGGAATTTACTGGAATTTACTGGAATTTCTGGAATTTCTGGAATTACTGGAAATTTACTGGAATTTCTCTGGAAACAAAAAGCTTTGGTCTGACACCAAAGATAGCATGTGAGAACAGAAAACTGATTCAACTCTTCCCTTTCTGAAGTACAAATATGGCCAATGCTTTCCTGTCCTATTTTCCTTCTCCCTACTCTGAGATCAGTGTTATCAGACCCTGTAAATTTCCCATGCAGTGGGTCCCAAATAAACAGAAGTATACGATTACAAACAGTTGGGTTTAGACATCTTCCTGTTCCACTGCTTTGGCCAGAAAAGATGGGTAATTCCTCCTGTGAGACAGATTAGAGAAAAATTCTTAGAGTTGTCCAGAACCTGAATGAGAAAAAGGTACCCTTTCCTCCCTGCTGCAGTGGGTATCCCTTAGCTCGACAAGCAAAGCACAGGATAGATTTTGCCCTAAACTATCTCTTTGGGCTGCACAATCGTACTGTGTATCCCTAAATTTCATTTTCATAAATGCAATATGTTTTGCTGAATTCTTAACGGTAACACAAGAAAAGCAACAGGACAAATGATAAAATATAACTTCAGACCTCAGCTTTACACTGGAAATCAAAATGTTTTATTGTGGATCTGCATGGGCCCAGCTCTGTGAAAGGCCTGCAGGGGATACAAATGGAAAAGAAAAATCCAGTGGGTTCCTGAAGGATGCTATG